TCAATTAATTAGCACAACCATTCAACCAATCGAAATCAACTAATTAACATATTAATGATAATAACAGCATTAATCCATTTTTTTTAACACAAAATCGTCAACACAGTATAGTTATATAATTAGTCAGTAAGACGTTCAATCAATCAACCAATCAATCAACCAATCAATCAACCAATCAATCAATCAACCAACCAATCAATCAACCAACCAAAACATTAAAAATTTCAGTTCATCAACAGAATGGAGATGCAGTCGGATCGATTCCTTTAAAAATATTTTTAATAGAGCCACCGCCACTACCACTACCACTGCCGCCGATAAAGCTACTACTTACGCCACCAAAACTACTGCTACTACCAGTACTGCTACTGTTGTAGGTAGCACAGTTGCTTGTTACAAGCTGATCGTAAGTATCCGTTAGAAATGGCGATGTGGTTTGCGTCGTTGTGTAATTTAGGAAACCACCAAAATTATTATTATTATTGTTGTTGTTAATGACCTCACCCAAATTATTATTATTATTCTTATTATTATTAACCTTTTTCCCAAATCTATTGTTATTATTTCTTTTCTTCATATTAGCATTACCATTATCATTATTATTGTCGTTGTTGTTGTTGTTGTGAGTGGTGCTGTAAAGGGCCGACAAGAAATTGGCATTAGGGGCCCTGTTGTAGGAAGGTTGGGCCGAGTGGTCCGCCGGCCCTCTGGTGGGCGACAAAAGGGGTGATTGAAATTGCAGGACTGATTTCTGCTGCTGCTGCCGTCCTCTGTTCGACTTTTTCGTGATCTTACCTCCCCCCAGCACTAGAGATGACGATGACGGATTAGTAAGAAGTGACGACGACGACAAAGGAGGTGATGACGTTTTTTTAAACTTTTTCACTTTCAGTTTGAGGGGGGTATGTTTCTTGCTGCTGCCGCTGTGGACATCCTCGCCCTGACCTGGTATGCAGCTGTAGACGTAACTATCTGACGTCTTCATCCCCCCAGTGGCGTCATCCTTATCGGCGTTACTCACGTCATCCTCGCTATCTATTTCTTTCTGAGCGCATTTTTTGCTTTCTGAGTTCGATGACTTTTTAATTTTGAACTTTTGGTACAAAATTTTTGCAGGAGTCTTCGCTTCTTGAGAAAATGAAGATGATGTAGATGGGGATGATGATGATGCTGCGATCTCTGATGACGACAATGACGATGACGTCAGTGACGATGAGCACGACGATGAAGATGGTGGCACGCTATCGTCAGCTGTGGACGCCTCTTTAGCTTTAACGGTGAGATTTGATGAAGTTGATGGTGCCGTTGGGGAGAGTATTGTCGATGGAGTGTCATCATCTTCATCGTCATGTTCCACCAACCCCATTGAAGATGAAGAGGAAGATATCGGCGCGAATGTTGGCGTCCTGGAGTTGGCAACGATCCGAGCTAACTCCTGATCAGAAGCGTTCGAGTAGCGCTTCAAAAATTCCTCCAACGAACCGAGTTTTGGCACTTCAACAGCTTTCGTTTCTTCAACGCTGCTTGGTGCTGTCGTCGATGAAGTTGTCAACACTGCTGCCGCAGCTGCTGCTGATGTTGTGTCTGTTGACATTGCTATTGATGCTGATGATGTCGTTGATAATGATCTCTGCTCTTCCACATTTTCTTGTTGTCGCTTAATTTTTCTCATCAACCTTGGATCTCTTGAAAGCACTTTATTACCAGATGAGGCCGTGACGGCAGATGTGGAACATGAAGCTACCACCGGTCCCACACTTATCGCTTGGCTCATTTCTGAAGCCGATTCATTAGAAAAAGCAGCAGCAGTAACGTTAACAGCAGCAGCAGTAGTTGTAGAAGCTGCATTAGTAGCTGCACTATTTACAACAAACATACCGCCGCCAGTTGGAGTCCAGTAAAAATCAGCATTATTACTGCTGTTTCTGTCGTAATAATTGTTCTTACTACTAGCACTTTCAACCTGTTGGTCGGATCTTCTATACTTGAATACTCTGGGATCGTTTGACCACATTTCGTCGGCGGGATCCACGAAGTAGGGTAGTGTGGCAGGCCCGGTGTCCACGGGGTGTACCTTGTAAGGCCCGATGTACTTGCAGTCGAATGGAAGTTCGTTCGGCTCGGTTAGGCAGAATGATTTTGACCTGTCGGTGGCAAGTTGTAATTTTGTTTATAAAATTAATACCGTTATTTGAGATGACCAAAAAAATGAAGAACTTCAAAAACTAATTAAATGTATTAAGAGATATTTTAAATGAAGATCATTCACCACGCATACAAACACAGACAGACAGACAGACAAAAATTCCTGAATACTCACTCCAATACTGACGAAGTAGCTGATGCATTACTGTCACAACCTTCAACCAATAGGCTACTTTGTGGCGGGGGACTCATCAGATCAGATGAACAAACCTGGAAAGATGACGTCGACGATGACGCCATGGATGATGGTGTAGTTGCTGTGCTTGTAGTAGCAGCAGTAACGGCAGCTGCTGCA